CATAGAGAATAAATCAAGCAGAAGATCAGGGCCTGGCAGAACTGACGCTAGCAAGTCCCCAAACAATGAAAATCGGAGTTCCATTTACAACGCATGGCCTGATGTCCTGATTACAAGGTTGGACAGTTTCTGAGAGAAGCATAGATTATTTAGCAGCAGAGGCATAAATAGTTAGATTAGTAAATGCTAAATTAAGAGGAAAAAAAAATAATGGTTTTCTGTGAACTCATAAATACTCATTTTCCGGGGTCACAGAACTTCTCAGAGCCAATTAAAACTCTGTCAACTGTGATCTCAAAATACTAAAGGGGCATGAAGTGCGCTGACTAGTCCAGAGCAGAAGGATCTCTGGGAGCAATGCGAGAGGAGAAACATCCAACACAAAGAGCAGAGACAGCGACTTCCTCCGTCCAACGATAAAAATAAGAATGAGAGCCCCAAACAGAACACTAACCCTGCAGCTATGGTACCCAAAAACAGCCTGACTGGGCCCTGGGGACGGAGACTGGGGCAGGACACCCGTAAGGGTGGCAGAGAGGTGGTGATGAGCAAGGAGAGCATACGGTGTGGCTCCCCCTCGGGATTTAGATACCTACAGACCAGCTGGGGAGGAAGCCTGGCGTCAGAGATCTAAGTTTACCTGCTTGCTTGAATACAGATGAAGATGGATCTGAATCCAGGCTGCTTAAATTCACCTTTCCCCTTGCCTACCTGTCTCTGCCCCCTGAGCCAGTCACATATCACGTTACTTCCTGGCATGACTGCAGGCTGTGCCCTGCTCTCCTTTTCCTGACTGCAGACAGCATATTCACCCTGACAAGAGCTAAAAAAAGGCCAGCGTGAATCACCCACTGGATTCTCCTTCTTGGGTGCGTGCATGCAGCATGGGAGAGGACTCCTCTAGGGCTTTTCTGCCCAGTGTCCCCTGGGACTGGAAGCAGAAGCATCACCTGGAGCTCCCGAGACATGCAGGATGTCAAGACCCACCCCAGACCTACTATACCAGCAACTGCACTCTAACAGGAACCCCTGCTATTGGTGAGCTCACCGAAGCGCCAGAGACCCTGGTGTAGGGCACAGCCCATGCAAACTCAAGGTGGGAACCAGCTCGTCCAGCGCCCCTGTGAACTTGGAGTATTTGCCACCATCTTTCACCTGAAAACGTATGGTTTTACTCACATATCTGCAGATGGGAGATTGTGCTCTCCCAATGTTACCTGAGAAACTAAAATCCACACCCTCTGATACAGCAGAGAATCATGGCCAAGTGTCCAAAGCCCAGAGAAGAGGTTGTCCCCACCTCCACTTGCAGTAGAAGTGCTGGGTTCTCATAAAAGGGGTGCGGGCAGCAATCCCAGCACCCACGGCCAGTGAAGGGATCACTGGTGCCTCTGGCTGAGACATTTTGCCCAGAGTCTCATTTTCCTTGAAAGCCAGTCAAATGCTGGAGTTGGCAACAAGGAGTGTTCCGGAAGGGTGACACTGCAGAACACACACATGGAGATGCGTGCAGCCCTGTGCAGGGAGTTTCTCTTCTCCATACCCACAAAGTCAGGGGTGAGAGGGAACAGAAGTGCCAATGGGTTGATCTTAAACCTTACAGAAGATCAGCTATTCTTTCCCAGACATCAACCAAAAAGAAAGGCCAGGGGTGGGGAATATGGGGAGAATACTACCAGAAAGGGTAGGGGAGCATTGCCTTAAATTCAATCACATATATAAGAACAATGGCACTTATTAAGGAAAAGAAATCATTTTTAAAAAATGAATGCCTAGTCTTAGCAGACCAAGTCCTCCTGAATGCCTAACCAATGCAGAAAGCAGCCAGAGCATTTAAGGTGTCTGCAATTAGAAGCCACCCTCACAGGGATAGGAGTGCCCACGAGTACAGTCAGCATCTGGGGCCAGCACTTGCAGAAAGGGGCAGGGCCGATCAGCCAGAGAGAGTCACACTTTCCTAGGCTGACCCCTGGGGTGAGGGGACCGTCCTAATTACTGATACCACCCGATATATTTTTTCCTCGAAGACTTTCCTATGAGAATTTGTACATATTGAAAACATGGTGTTTTCACCATATTACTAGTTTGTGAATGTGGAGGCATATGAAACTAACAATTTTTAAAGGACCCAATATTACTGTTTGGAGTTATTTAATGCATGACTAGAAACTATGAGTAGGAGCAATTCAGAGACAGTTCAGCAAGATCCATGAAGGCTATACAGGCTGTGCAATGGCCACCATCAAATCCCCGTGAGTGGTGGGAACACAGCATCCAGTCCCCAAGCGGCGGGGGGGGGGGGCTCCTAAAAATGCCTGCCTCTCAAGAGAGGGCGGGTCCCTCGAAGCTGCACCACATCACTTCTCACTTTCCTGGTCCCTCCAAATATAAAATTCTACCAATATTGATTTTACTACTGCATCTATATTAGCCAGAGCATAAGGGAAAGGAAAATATAACTACTTCAGAATTTCAATAAATTGTATCTCTCAGAATTGTTTCCTCTGAATTCAGAATTCTATTAGTATTCCAGGCCATGTTCTGCCACTCAGCTCTTATTAAAGAGGCTCTCCACCCAGCTATACTTCTTTTTATCTGTGTTTGTAAAATGGCAAACTCCTTGAAGCTATTTCAACTGCAGCCTTTGTTCGTAAAACAATAATTTAACAAAATTCACATTTGCTATAATTGCTTTAAAAATGTACGAACACGTACACATTGGTCATTTAATTCTTATTTACCCTTAGGTTACTCGAGTAATTGGTATAATAACTTTAAGGGCAAATCAAATCTTATTAATGCTTTCCAAGTACTTTAAAAATCTTAAGTGAATGAATGTTTTGTAAAGTACTACTATCAGGAAGAAAACACAGAGAAACATTTTATCGTTCAGTTGATGAAAAGGATTTTTGATTTATTTATTGAGTCTCGGGAAACTCTGTTGGTTTTGATTCTTCTAGAAAACAAGGCTGTCTGAGGAAACTGCTAGAGAAGTTTCATATGGTTTGGTCAGTGAGTTATGGATATAATAATAGCTACCATTCAAAGAAGAAACTACCCAGAACCTATAACACATAAGGACTATCTGGGATGTGGAAAGGATACGAGCCTGGCTTGACCAGCAAGCTGCTTACAGGTTTGCTGAGAGACCGTTCATGCCCTGCTGTGCAGGGAGGCATGTCACACACTTAAACGCTTGGCAATCTATCGGAATTTGGGAAGCACCAGTGATTTCATGACTGCTACCAAATGTTGAAAAAAATATTGATTAGCTCAAAAACACACTGAGCTTCTATTTTTCTCTTAAAAGTATTAGACACTGTGAGGAAGAGAAAATTAAATAAGACAGGCTTCATCCATATGCTTAAAAGAGAAATGTAAGAATGAGAAAAATAAGAAAGGTAGAGAAGACTAGGAGTTTGGAGAAAGAGATCAGATGGGACCGAGAATGGTCAAGGATTGTTCTAGATAAAAGGTAAGAACCAGAGCCGAGCCTCAGAGGAGGGGGCAATTCAGGCATGTGGAAAGAAGGGACAGCGTTCCAGGGACAAGGACCTGGCAAGGGCATGGAGGGGCCGTGCATAAAGAGCGATCAAGGTGAGCAAGGTGATCAGTTACAAATGAATGTTTTGTCTTTCAAACAGTAAGCACACCTGTGTGTTTGTCTCTTTGCTCTGCTATTAAATATTCCACAATATATTTGTAGGATTTAGGTGATCATTTTCTCTCTGCGTGGATGTGAGAATAATGATTAAGCCGTTCCCATATGGGAAATGCCAGGCTCGCTAGCAAGCCAGCCTCCAGACTTTCTCAAAAGAGCATTAAGTTGCGTCCTTCATGGATTTAAATGGGAGAGATAGTGTTTCTATTTAATCATCCGCTCACCACAAAAGAAAGCCACGCTAACTTCGGCAGGAAGTGTGCAGTAAATTACTTCTGAAGCTCCCCAAAGATTAAGGCTCATAGGTTTGAGATTGCATTACAATTAAGTAATAATGAAAGAGAAATCGTGCCTTTTGATCAAATAATGCATTAACCCTACCACACACTGTGTACCGTTGTTCTCTCTCCGGTAATGTTGACTTTTTGAGGTAATTTCTCATTCGACAGGACAGAAAACACTCACAGAAAAAAAAAAAAAAAAAGGAGAAGGGTATGCGTTGGGGAAGACAGTGGAAGGTAAAATGCCCTGAGTGGCCCTTGGATAAGACAGCATATTTGCCGCCTCATAAAGAAAACGCCAGGTAGTGTTAATGAAAGGGTGTAGTCATTTCTTCAGGCTCAGCACATATAAAATCTTTTCTGCAGAAAAACTGCATTCCCTGCAATCCCCAAATTCATGAGGCCTACCACCTAAGCGGGGCGATGTACAGCTTAGGAATCCTCTTCAATCCTTAAGACCAAGTTCACTAACCAATTAGCAGTCCATCGTGGCTCTCCAGGGAGGTATTTGCGAACAAGTTTTCCAAGCGCTTCAGAAGCATTTATATATACCTAATGTGCCATTAATCATTCTTATCTGTTCATTAAGGCGGTCTCCCTCAGGACCTCTACTTGCCAGTTCTTCCTCAGCTTGCTTCTTTTTATCTATAGACCCGGAAAGGAGTTCATTTCTTTCAAAACATATTTTATAATTAAAAGATTTCATTTATTCACAGGGGTGTGCTCCACCAATGAGTCTGCATTTTCTGAGTTTTATTAAACATACAGAAAGGCCATTCTCTTGAGGGTCTTTGTGGAAGACAAACCATACAACTACAGCTGGGCTTGGGAACACATTTTCAGCATGGAGAGATTCAGACCATTACTTACAGCATGATATAAATCTCCTGTCCACATCAACGCATGTTGCTTCCTGCTGTCCCCTATCAACAAGGGGGAACAATTTCAATTCACGCTGTAATCTAATTGATATAAACTAAAGATGGAGGGGAAATCAGATATTGTAACTTGAAAAGCAATCAGTTTGAAATGTCATGTCAGCTGTCATGTGACTATACCTCTGCCTGCGACTCCTCCATATCCACGTTCAGGCCTCTGCTGCTTCCTGGGTCCATCCGTCCCAGCGCAGCCAGCAGCGAGGCCCCGAGCAGTGCGAGATGCAGCCAAACGTGCACTGGTTTCATTCTGTTGAGTCTGTTGAGAAAATGACACATGCTCAGGATGAAGCACTGCAGAATGGAAGCAACTTACCTCAGTTAGTACCTGTACTCCAGAATCAGATATACCCGAGCTGAAATCCTGCCACCAATCTTTCTGTTCTACCATGGAGAAGTTACATTACTTCTGAGCCATAGTCTACTCGCCTCTAAAATGGGGTCAATAACCCGTATCTCATAGGGTTGCTGCGAGGGTTGAAGAAGTCAGGTCAGGCACATAGTAGGAGCTCCATAAATGCCAGCTGCTCTATAGAAACCCACCTGAAACACTACCTTCCACTACATCTCCAAGAACAAACCAGGGTGAGAAAGCTGGGTCCCCTACGTTAGGTCACTATATATTCACGCTCAAGTTTCCTCAGAAAGCAATCAGTGCTCGATAAATGCTGCAGAAGAATCGTGTTAAACCCGTGGCACCTCATCTGCAGCTGATGTCTTGCTTTATGTAATGGTGAGCTTCAAAATAAGACCTAATATATAAATAAGACCAGTCATTTTTGTAGCAAAATCCAAGCATCCCATAGACAATGGAATTTCAATAACTGTTAAGGTGTTTCCTGAGGCTCACGTGATAAACTGTCTAACATCCCAGAAGACAAGAAATGGACAAGTCAAAGTCATCATAGAATTACCTGGACGAAGAAACTAAGCATCAGCTACAGTAAATATTCAACTCTCTACTGTGCTCTGGGTATTGTGCTAAGGGGACAAGGACACAGACCAGTCCACTTGCCCAATTACCTGTACTTTTTGGGTAAGGTTTCTGCTGTGAACATATTCCACTTAATTTCAGTGTCTCTAAGAAACATAGCCAGATAGAACTCATGATGCAGTATCTACAACTCTTACTCGAGGAAACTAGAGGGGTTATTGATTTCTGTGAACATCACACAATTCAGTGCTTAAGTGCACGTGGTCCACACTGCATCCTGATCGTGGCTGGAGAGATGAAAACACAGAGCTCCTTGGAGGCCAGCAGCCCACGTGACCTGGCTTAGGGCTGATCTAGATCAGGTGTCCAGCCAAAAAAAAGAATTAGCTGCTTGAGGGACGTTATAGCTTGTTTGAAGAGCTCACCCTTGCTCATGCCCAAAATCAATAGCTTTGCAGGATTCCGACTCTAAACAGGAGTTGGAGGTATCACAAGATCACTAGTTGGGATGCCAGGGCCACCAAACAAATACACTCCTGCCACATTCCAGGTTTCCTTTGGCTGCTTTCCACACCCAAAATGAGCTGCCTCTTCAGATTTGTTTTATGTCCCCAGCTTGAGACAGAAATGCCCCCAGAATGGAGAAGTCGGACTAAAAATTGTAGACATATCACACTGGCCTATAAAAAGGCAAGGTTATAAATTATGACTATCTTGTAAGAGAAGGTGTCTCCTTGTTTTAAAAAGAGTCCACAGGCTCCCACTCCCACATCTGTTTCTTCAGCCATTCATCTTTGACATCTGTTGGCAAAGCTGGAGCTACTGGGAAAATAGTCCAGGTGGCCAGTAAATATAACGTGAAGGTCACAGTCTCGCCCTCATCAGCACCTGCTCTGCACTCTGAAGAAGGCAGAGTTGAGCAGAATGGTGCGGTTTTATCTGCTACCTGTGAGGGGACAGGAGCTCTCACAGCGGCCACCACACTCTGCACTTCAGATCCGGTGCTCTCGCTGGGGTGTCTGGGTACTTAACAGCAACAAGGAGCAGTGAGACTCACATTCAGGACAAAAAGAGAATAAAAATGTCTATCCCTAACGGCAACCAGTTTTTTAAAAAATAAATAGGGCAATTCTCTATTCTGCAGAAATTATTCTCTTCTGAATGCAAAGCCATGTTCTAGACACTGCAGAAAGCAGTTTCTGGATTTTTAGAGTTTTAAAAAAAGAAGAAAAGAAAAGAAAAAACAGCAACAGTAACTCAAGCTAGAACTAGAAAGACATTGCTTCCCACTCTGCTTTTATGGATTCTTGCCTCCTTATCCACTCTCAAACAGTATTCCTGGGCTCAGCACATATACAGAAGGTCTTCTTTTCTCCCTGTTCATACCTTGGAGTCCAAATAAGCGAAAAACAGCAAGATAATTAAAACTTACTCAAGTTAACATCCAGATGTCAATTCCTAGAGTTATGAAATATTCAAGCCATGAAATCTAGTATTTAGTTTTCAATTTGCCTAGTAATCCAAGACCAATTATGTTCGATGTTTTATTATTAATGGATAGCATCAAAATAAAATGGATTTACTTCCACTGTTATTTTGGCAAGCTGCAAATCCCTTTATTCAGGAGGGCGCGCCCTAACCTCTGGCTTTAAACCAGCCTTTGTGTTTCAAGAAGCTAGAGCTCAGACCTGCTGCATCTGAAGTTATCTCTGGTTTTATCTGGTTTGTGTTGAGGTCATGGAAGATTTTATTTGAAGACAGGGGAATCCGTGGACCAGGCCAGCGACTGAAATATCCCTAGGCAGCTCTGTAAAGTTTAGCTTAGCTCAGCCACCACTGGATCAAACTTTGTACAATAGATGCATCTTACATGTCATTTTATACTCTCTGTGAGTGACAATTCATTACATCTACAGCAGCAACAGTCTAAAAATTTACAACCCAGGTTTTATGACAGTTTGGTTCATAAAGAAAATAATATAGGGTCTAAATCAATTTTGATGATCTGTCTAATAACCAAATAGAGACTATCTATTTGGTTAACATATATAGCAATTACTACATGTCAGGCAGAGTCCTAAACGTTTTATAGATATTAACTCATAACCCTTATTTCTACTCCATAAGGAAGTCAATGATTACTCCCTAGTCAGATGACAGGGGAGACAGGTCACCGAGAGGTAACTACCCTGACAAGGCCAAATGGCAAATAAGTGGCAGAGCTGGGACTTCAAGCCAGGCAGGTAGACTTAGCATCTATGCCCTTCACACCCCCATCCTCTGATGTCTCTCAATACTTAGCAATATTTTGTTTCAATGAACTGCTATTTTTAGCGTGATGGGGGAATCTATGTAGAGCAAGATAGAAGGCACAGAGCCCCACGTCTCTCTTTCCTCTGAAAGCTGCCAAGAGCTGTGCTCCTCCAGTTTTCACGGCTCCAACCAAGGATGAAAGAGCAGAGTGAGGGGGAAAGGCCAGCTGCTTCCCTTCCTGCACCCCACCCCGGGGATGGAGCTACTTGGCACACTCTCCTCAGCCCTCACTGCTGCTGTCTTTGCTGGCCAAGAAGAAATGTGGTTGAAAAAAGGAATCACAAGGAGACGCACAGAATGCCAGGCAACAAGGATTCCCCTCAGCTCACGCGGAGTGATGGCATGGCGCAGGCAGTCACTCTGGGGGAAGCGGATCTGGTGACAAATTAATTACTCCTCAAACGCAAATAGCCCTACTGGCCTTCAGATAGAAGGAAATACAAGAATCTCCCATTTGTAGATCAGTAAGGTCACAAACTCTCTTTGTGACTACCTTTTCTTTCAAACAACTCATAAAGCTCAAAGCTTTGATATTTAAGACATCTAATTTCCAAGAGAAGTAGTTCACTGCTTCCTCCGAAGTTTCCCACCTGTGCCTTGCTTTCTTCATGCTCAGGGTAACCAGGTGCCAGCTGGACTACTGCACAGATAGGACACCAGAACCCCGTGGGGTGGCAGTCGGAGGTGAGGAATTCACCCACTGTGTGAAGTCACGCTAGTGGCCAGACCTAGACTGAAACCCAGGCATCCTGACCCCTGGGAAACCAAATGTTTTGTTTTTTACCTTGTCACAAACGTATGTATAGGATGTGTTTGCATTCTCTGTTTAGGTAGATTATGTTGCTTTTTTTCAGTGCTGGATGGGCCCCACTAGGACATCTACTTGATCCTTATGAAAACCACTCGCTTTTCTGGTTTTATAATATAAGCCGATACCTGTGTTGTTATTTATTTGTATTTAAAATTACAGAGATATTACAAATTTGTATGATGTAACATTCCAAATTCTGACTTGCTTCTGAAGAAAGTTGAAAAATGTGACATAAGAACACAAATGGTTAGGAAGAAATCCATGTGAATATGTAAATTCCAAATCTGCCCCACCGGAGGACAAGGGTCAACATGTATGCTGTCTTTATTAAACAAGGTCAGAGGCCAGAGAGAAGCATTGACATTAAATTGGCAGTGGGTTTAATACAAATTTCTCTTTTCTCCTCTGGGAACCAGGCCTCTTTGGGGAGAATGGAAATTCTGACCATCATCTTTCGGGGAGATTGTTGACTGGTTCTCTCTCAGAATATGGTTAACATTACCAAACCAGACATTATGGATTAGCCACATAGAAACGGCTTCTTTTTGTAACCAACAGGACCAGAATTTATGAAGATGATTTGACAAAACCAAGCAACACCAACCAGCCTTGAAGAGCACAGCTAAGGTTTGTTAGCCTGAGGCACCTGCATTTCCACCCTTTCTAACTGGAAAAGTGTATGCTCTAGCCAATAATTTGAGGTGCAGTGCGTTTTATGCTTGGGATGGTAGCACTTAACAAGCAGAAACTGTCCAGGGACCACCAAAATCCTGCTGTCCTCTTCTGTATGTCTGCCCAGGGTTAAAAGAAAGAGAAAGCTATATAAAACCTAATCCCAAACCAGAAGGCTATTTATTAATTTATTCTGGAAGGGTTAGGACCCTATTTTTGATTTGTGAGTGTTTTAGCAAAAAAAAATAAAGAGATTCAAACTTCCTCAGACAGTACCTAAAATACCAACCTAGGGAAATTAGGTATGAAAATATAACAGGATAACCCTGCATCAAGCCATAATGAAGTTATATTGCATTTCTCTATACCTTTGGTTGATCATTCCAACATCTGATAAATTAGATACCTAAATTAGTCTATGTGCAGTGTATAAATCTAGGACATTTTTATTCACTGCGAGGTTTAACAGACACACACGCACGCATGACTTCCCATAATTCTCACCCTTTCCAGATTCAG